CCAACACCTGTTTTCCTAAGCTCACTCCCTCCTGTGAATAGACCCTGTGTTTCTCAGCAGCTCTTGGCAGGGCCACAAATGTCTTTCAAACTACATAACTCAGAATGGGAAGATTATATATTTAGATAGTTGGGAATGTTTCCACTCTTGAAATCCACTTTGATCAGAGGCCACTGAACAAACTTATATCTTACTGTCATGTAAGAAATAGACACGTGAACATCATTCACACCAAAGTGAAGATATGAGATTCAACTCTGGGGCTTCCCTGGTGGCGCAGTGGTTAGGAATCCGCCTGCCAATGCAGGGGACACGAGTTTGAGCCCTGGTCCTAGAAGATCCCACATGCCAGGGAGCATCTAAGCCCGTGAGCCACAAATACTGAGCCCGTGTGCCACAACTACTGAAGCCTGTGCACCTACAGCCGACGCTCCGCAAGTAGAGAAGCCACCACAGTGGGAAGCCTGTGCACCGCAATGAAGAGTAGCCCCTGCTCACTGCAACTAGAGAAAGCCCATGTGCGGCAACGAAGGCCCAATGCAGCCAAAAAAAAAAAAAAATGAATACATTAAAAAAAAATTTTTTTAAGAGATTCAACTCTGAGCTCACCCTGTTGCAAAGTAGACAACGCCAGTGTACTTATGTGGAGGGTGGTGCCAGAGCAAGGGATGGTGTTCTGATAGCTTCTGCTTTGACAGGTGATTGAAGCCTCAGATGTTGTGCTGGAGGTGTTGGATGCCAGAGATCCTCTTGGTTGCAGGTGTCCCCAGGTAGAAGAAGCCATTGTCAAGGGTGGACAGAAAAAACTGGTACTTGTATTAAATAAATCAGGTAGGCGAAAACATTGCTCTTTATGTTCCATATGCACTAGTGAGGTATGAGGAAAACATCTTAACAGTCTTGATTGTCTCTGAAGACTGGTAAGATCCAACTCTGACCTCATCAAAACCAGTGCATATGCATGAGCCCTTGTTGCCAAAGACAGTGCTGGACAGTGGGGTGGAAATTTTTTTTCCCCTTAATTACTGTATTATACTTATTTACTTATTTATTCATTTATTTATTGTTATGTTGGGTCTTCTTTGCTGTGTGTGGGCTTTCTCTAGTTGAGGTGAGTGGGGGCTGCTCTTCATTGCAGTGTGCAGGCTTCTCTTGTTGCGGAGCACGGGCTCTAGGCATGTGGGCCTCGTGGCACGTAGGCTTAGTAGTTGTGGTGCACGGGCTCAGTTGCTCTGCGGCACGTGGGATCTTCCCAGACCAGGGCTCAAACCCGTGTCCCCTGCATTGGCAGGCGGATTCTTAACCACTGCACCACCAGAGAGGTCCTGGAGATGTTTTCTAGAAGCAAGTTAACTGGTTTGTACTGTTCTTTTGCTATTCAGTACTTAACCACCTTGTCTTATTTAAGAGTATAAGCTTTTATGCTCAGCTTACTGTGTAGTATATTTCACGTAGGAAATGATGACAGAGTGCCACATTCTTCACACCTGCACAGTGTCGACATGTGGCACTATTTAGATGAGACATGATTATGTATCTAGGTTTGAGCAGCAGGGACAGAAACACCCAGAAACAGAAACCTGTGAAACAGAAAGTAAGGATGGGATCTAAAATTACTGTTGGGGTCAGTAAACATGGCTGCTACCTGATAGTAAATTCTGGAAACATAGCCCTGAGGTTAGTACGGTAATATTCTAGAGGTTGACTTAATCCTGAAAGGATGAGCAATGCAGAGGGGAATTAAAGAAATACAGAGGTGTACATACTGAACTCTGTTAAGCAGAAGCATGGTAGGCAGCTGACCCTCTCCCCATCTTCTAGTTCAGATACTTTTGAAAAAACTGGGAAAAGGCAAACCTGAATGAAATCCATAGTTTACTAGACTTTGCAAATTTATCTCAACAAAATGACCAAATTGGAACAGTGTTTTATTCCTAATCCCTATCAGATTTGGTACCAAAGGAGAATTTGGAGAACTGGCTAAGTTATTTGACGAAGGAATTGCCAACAGTGGTGTTCAAAGCCTCAACAAATCTGAAGGACAAAGGGAAGAGAATCAAGGTACCCTTAATTTAGTGGTGGGAAATGTGGTTCTTTCATCTTTCAGATGGGTGAAATATGATGAGTGTACAAAATCTTGATTAAAAAATGAAAACTTGTAAGATCCAACTCTGATTTCATCCAGGGATAATCTGAAAGGCAATGGAATGTGGTGATTTTAATAGATGGGCTCTGGAGCCAGATTGCTTGGGTTTTGTCTGGTGGATTGTCAGAAGTAGTTAAACTAATTATTTAGAATTTTAACTTGTGAAGGTAAAGAAGAAAGCTGCTCCATTCAAAAGTGAAGTCTGTGTTGGAAAAGAAGGCCTTTGGAAGCTTCTTAGAGGTTTTCAGGAGACTTATGGCAAAGCCATTCACGTTGGGGTAATTGGTGAGTTTCAGTTCAGCATATTTTATGTCTTATCTCAGTAAGTGCAACTCGGCACTATAGGTATTGTTAGCTTCTAAGAGCTCTGGTTTATTTGAATTAATAATCTTCCTGCTCTTTTATTACCTGTGCAAGAAATGAAGATGTTAAGAGTAGTTTTAGTGTTGAAGTGAAGACGCTCAGATCCAACTCTGATCTTGCTCTAAACAGGCAAGCATAAAATAAGGGAGTGGAGATTTTATAATTACCAGCACATAATGCCTTTTGTATCTGTGGATTTCCCATTTGTAGGTTTCCCAAATGTGGGGAAAAGCAGCATCATCAATAGCTTAAAACAAGAACGGATATGCAATGTTGGTGTATCCATGGGACTTACAAGGTAAATTGAGTTCCATAATTGCAATATTTCATTATAGTTAAGTATGATTTTGTTTATTTTAAGGGAGACAGTTTTCTGTTTCTATTTATTCAACTTTCTATTTAGTGAAAGGAACAGGGTTAAGCCAGTGTTAGGCTTGGGAAGAATTGATTAGAGTAGAATAGCTGCCCACAATCTAGTTTGAAAGACGAGCAAATAGATTCATAGAAGGAAAAGCTGCCTTAGAGGAAGTGATGTTTGAACCTGAACTTGAAATGAATAGAAGTCTGCCAGGTAGAAGAGGGGAGATACTACAGAGGAAACAGCATGTGTTTAGGTCAATATGTATGTAAGCTATAACACGTAGTGTTTTGTCTTTAGAAGAGGAGGGTGTGCTGTTACGGTTTTAGATAAACATGAAGCAAATGATGATAAAATGGATCTGACAGACTGTGCTGAGTTTGTTCAATCCAACCCTGAGCTTCGTTGTGTCTCTTGGCCTTTAGGAAAACCAGTGCCTGTCAGTTACCATCTTTCTTGTTTCAGGTACATGCAGGTTGTCCCCTTGGACAAACAAATCACAATCATAGATAGTCCAAGTTTCATTGTGTCTCCACTTAACTCTGCTATTGCACTTGCTCTGAGAAGTCCAGCAAGTATTGAGGTAGTAAAACCAGTGGAGGCTGCTAGTGCCATCCTGTCCCATGCTGATGCTCGACAGGTAAAAAGAATCCCCTTCCCTTGACCTCCATCTTGTCTTTCATTATAAGCATTTTTTTTAACATCTGTACTATATCAGATAGATGACAGTTTGTTTTTCTTTTTTTAATAAGGTAGTACTGAAATTTACTGTCCCAGACTTTAAGAATTCTCTGGAATTTTTTACTTCATTTGCTCAGAGAAGAGGACTGCACCAAAAAGGTGGAAGCCCAAATGTAGAAGGTGCTGCCAAACTGCTATGGTCTGAGTGGACAGGGTAAGGCTTCTTTCTGTTGGCTTTTTGATGACCACATAGAATAAAGGAACTGATTTTTGACAAACTTTATTTTTAATACCAGTGCTTCCTTAGGTTACTTTTGCCATCCCCCTACATCCTGGACTCTTCCACATTTTAATGAGAGCATTGTGACAGACATGAAATGGGGCTTTAATCTGGAAGAACTGGAAAAGAACAATGCACACAGCATACAAGGTAAGCACGGCTTGTGTTTAACTACTGTCTTCATAAGCTGACAGGCCAATAAAGGTCTCATCTGTTTACACGGGCTGTTTACCTTTTTTAGCCATCAGGGGCCCTCGTTTAGCCAGTAGCATCCTTTTCCAGTCATCGGGTCTGACAAATGGAGTGATAGAGGAAAAGGACATACCTGAAGAATTGCCGAAACAGAAAGAACGCAAGCAGGAGGAGGGCGGGGACTATGAAGATGTCAACACTGACCAGGAATGTGTTGACGAAGAAGGTGATGTAAGTATGTTGTGCATGAGTTGTTTAAGCTGAAGTAAGTTTTCTAGCATTACAGTGTACAACAGAGGGGAAGGGGCTGAAGGAAGAAATAGAAATTAAATATTTCATGACTTTAAAAAGCCTCGTACAATTTAGAATTTTAAGGCTTGCAGTCATTAGTCTTGATGTTGTGCATCCATTAATGTGTACCTCCAGAGACGTTTTCTGGGTATGTAATTAAATTGGATTAATGAGCACACAAGGGCTTACTAACACTGTTTCTCTGTCCCACAGGAAAAGAGCTCAGACATGTCCCCTGCAGAAGAGGCCTGCGAGACACTGCCTGAGGACTCTCAATCAGGTGACTTGGGTGGAGGGATCTTCTAACAAAGCAGTACAGTAGCTTTTATTTTTGTTTTTAAACATCTCCTTTTTCTTTCCAATATAGATAAGCAGTCTGCACCATCTTTCATCTTGGATAAAATGACTGAAGAGGAAGATGATGCTTATGATTTCAGTACGGATTATGTATAATAGAACTTTGTCCTTATATAATGGTGTTTTGTTGTTGGTTTTGTGAGCAGACTGCTAAGCTGTTCTCTGCGTGTGATGTACCAGTTTGTTACAGTATGACATAAGCTGTGTAAATTTTGTGAATGTGTATATAATGATATATTCATTTTAAAAAATCAGGCAACTTAGAAAGTGTCTAAATTCTATAAAAATATCTGTTAAACAGTGAGTGGGTAGAAGTAAAGTTAAAACATACCTTATTGAAACATGTAGTTTTACTTTATTTACAGATTCAGCCACAGGTCACAAAATTAAAACCAAGCAGCAGTGCTGAACTAGCTGTACCAGCCGTATCTAAGTACATTCACCTCTGGTCGTTCAGCACTGTCATAAGCAAACTCTTGATAAGGCAGATGGAGGCATATTTATAGTCTGTCTGGGAAGCTGACTGCCAGATGGGGCAGTTTGTCCTCTTTACCCAGCTGAAATGTCCCTTGTCTCTTTGTTGCTGCAAACAGGCATTGAAGCCTAGCAAGTGTTACTTCCCACACATACTATTTTCCAGGATTTCCTGAGAAATGCTTATAGCATATTTATTTACTTTATATTTGAGATCTCCACATGTCTTCGGATTAGGTTGAATTTGCCTGTTGGGTCCGGAATATACCATTTTTCCCAGACATCAGTATATGAAGCAGTTCTTCCCCATGGCTTAAAGTGTCCATTCCAGTGGAGCAGCTTGGCAGCCTTAACAAACTGGGGTGAATATCGTTTTCCAGCACTGGAACCTTACATTTAGGGAAAAAGAGCCAAATGACTGTACTAGTCAGACACAAGACTGCAGGAAACTTAAGGGAAACAGTATATTCCATCCCTGAGGGTGGTCCTTTAGACACTTTATTAGCTTAGGCCCTTGGTTAGTTACTTACCAAGGTGGCGAACATTCCACATAGGGTCGATGGTGGAGTGCTGTTGATAAAATACGATCAGCAGAGGTGGTGTTGTGATGCTGCCAGCCAGTGTTCTACTGTACAGCCCTTCTCTTGGTGGGACAGATAACAAATGAAAGCTGTTAGTAAAGAATCCTGACTAATTCCTGTTAGTGAAGACCACCAGGGTTGAAATAACAAGAGTTTTCACAGCTAGGCCACTTACATACTTACTCTACATTGAGTTTCATCCATTTTTCCAGCTGGTTAGTTATATTCTGTCGTTTCCATTCTGTCAAGTTTGCAACAAAAACTCCAGGGTTAAATGAGCAGGTGCTGGCTTTCATGGAAAGCTTACGAATTCTTTCCTTTTTATAGTCAAGATATCCAATGTAATTGTACTAAAAACACAATTGGGATATATAGTATGTTTAATGCTTCAAACAGTAATTTGGTAACTGTTCTGCTTACTTAATGACTTCTCAGATTATTAACAGAGGGCTCTACATAAAGCAAATAAAAGTGACACTTGGGATTGCAATTTAGACAACAGGAACCTAAACATTAAGCCAGATGTTCAAGGAGAATTAGGTTGTCTAATCCGTGGACCAATCTAGGAAAGCAGCCTTGAGTTTTGGGATGAAATAATTGGTGAATAAAATGTAGCTAAAGATTTAGAATTCCCTGATTTTGCTGCCTCTCCCCATTGACATGAATTATAGGGAGTGGAGTGTCTATTTACGAGGTCTAATAAGTAATTTACCTGGTTCCCTGCTCCACGGATGACAACTTTAGTAGAGGATGAATCACAGTCTTCTGAAAATGCAGCTGCATGTCCTGGCTTCAGTGGTGTATTGTACAGGGAAAGAATATCACCTGAAACAGATAAAAGTTTAAGATTTACACTGGAAGTTGCCCCAAGATTCCCTATTCCTCCCACTTAGGATGGCCTTTTATAGGATATCGTAAATAAGACAACCACTATCACCCACACTGGACAGAGAGCAGCACTGATGGTGACATTCTTTAGTACCTTGCACAATTACATCATCGTCCATATATATGGCCTTCTTTGCGCTGGGAACCAGAATTGGCAAGTAGAACCTTGCAAAGGTTAACTGGAAAAGGAAAGAGGCATTGGCACAAGATTTGTCAGTGGCTGTGCTTTTGTTTATTAGAAACTCCCAGAATGCTCTCGGTATCCATGCAGGAGAAGACAGCCAAAGGTCTCTGAACTTCCAGGTTTGGTCCCCAGGGAAGTTCTAGTACTGTACCCACAGTTACCCAGGTATTCCAATCATTTCATAATACTACCAAGTACAAACAAGGATGCATGGAACTCACTGGTTTCATGGAATCCCCCTGGTCAGGATCCTCCTTTACTTTTCCTTCCAAAAGTTTAGTGTCAAAATTCACAATTTTGTACCTGATGCTTTTCAGGGTACTGCTGCTGAGCCAGGACCTGATGAAAATAAACCACTAAATATCAGTTTTAAGTAATCATGTCCCAAACCACAGCCATATCTCTGCTTTCCAATAAGACCATAATGCAAGAGAAATCCTGAGGACAAAATAGGTGTCTTCAAGCCCCTTCACCTCTGAGCTTTGTCTTCCTCATCTGCAGTGAGTTTACCCAGTAAAGACCCTTCCTGAACCAAGATTCCATGGTGATAGTGCACCCAAAGGCTCATACTTTTGATCACTCTTCTGACACTAAAACTGCTGTAAAAAAAAATTCATTATGGAATTGAGAAGATCCTTTCACCACGTGGATCATTCAACATTTGTCCCTCGAAATACATCAGTGAAGAAAATGAGTCAAAGTATGATGGTAGTGAAAGCTAAGTTATCAACAAAGCTGGTAAATCAGTCTGTTAATCTACACACTCATTAATTCACTGTGTTGGCTGAGTGATTCTACCTGAGTCTAAGGTACTGCCTGTAAGAAAAGTCAGTATTCCCTGAAGAGGTGCTGCACATTTTTCCTAGGCCAATTTCACACCAGTGTTTTGTGGATATGATGTTATTTCTGTAGTCTATTTTAATGCAATATTTCTTTCTACATTATTTTAGATGATTTCCTGAGTTTTTTAAATATGGAAAAATAATTCATACCAACTTTGATGAACAACCATGGAGAAAGGCACAAGAACAGATATGTTTTAGAACTTTGACCACTATTAACCTGTTAGATAAAATGTTTCTTGGAATAAACTCTGTAAATCTTAATTCAAAGCATCTTTGAAAACACAGTTAAGACTATCCATCAGATTGAGTTTCTGTTAATCACAACAGTTACAATAGTAAGGATCATTTACTGAGTGATTATTATGTCGTAGGTGTTTTCATATACTTTTTCATTTACTTGACACAACAATCCTCTAATCTGGATATTTATACCCCATACTTACAGATAAGTAAATGGGTTCCAAAGAGTTAGGTAATGTTCCCCACTATGGGCTAAAATTTGGATCAGTGTCTATGCTCACTTCACCATACTACCTTGCCATTGCTCCCATGTCCCTTCCCACTCTAGACCAGAACTACTCAAGAGCATGTTCTTGAAATAAGGAACTTGTAAGAGAATATAAATCAACACCTTGCTTCCTTCATTGAGAAAGTCTTACTACCAAAAAAAAAAAATCCACTTAACTATGCATAGTAACGCAGTTGATTTACATCTTGGCACAGTTTTCTTACATGTTTTTGCTATCATGGAGACATGTTTATAGTACAATCACATGGAAAAACAATGTGCAGTTTACAAGTGATATACAGGAAAAAATGTAAACATTGAAAAACATATTACTGGATTGGCAGCTGGCCTGCTCTTAGAGCATCCCCTAGAAGCAGAATCATCAGGCAAGCCGAGCTCACCGGAGATGTTCTCCTGTACCGTTGAGTGTAACAACGTAGAAAATCACATTGGAGCGAGTGTTGTGCTGAATACTGTTTATGGCTGCAATGGCCCCCCCAAGCCTATCTTCAGATGCAGCAATGACCACAGGAATCTCCTCTTGTCTCCCATCTACCACATGTTGGGGAGCATTTGGGACAAAGTCTACAGGCTGAAGCCCCACAATTCCTGAATCTGCAAAGAACACACACAAAGAAGGTACTGTGATACAAACACAGTCTCAAGAGCTTTTGATACAGAGCCCAAGACATGAAAAGAGGTAAGCTGAGAATTATGATTATTCCGCCTCATTGTAATGTGAAACATATAGCCCAGAAATTGTGTTTTCCTGTATGTAACCAGGCCTTTGGAAAAGCATTTTTAATAAAACAGGCAGACAGTTCTAATACATTACTGGTAGGAATATATCAATCTTTTTAGATTGTATTTGGGCAATTTGTACCAAGAGCCTTAAACAGGTACATGGCCTTTGACCCAGTAATTCCCCTTGTGTCTCTTAAGGACAACATCTGAGAGGTAACCAAAAGTCACAATTCTATTTACAATTGTGAAAAACCTAGAAACAGACTAAAAAACAGTTGTTTTTCAAACTGAATTGTATCCCACAAGTAGGCATGAAATCAATATAAGTGGATCGCAATCAGAACATGAGTAGGAAAACAGTTCCTGAATTGGAATAGAACAGTGACTTAGAAAATATCAGAATGCATCACATACAGCAACTGCAAGTATTGTTTTGTAAACCTTGCTTTTTATAATACGTTTGTTCATTTACTCATTCATCATGCAGTGAACACTGAAGGCCTACGATGTGCCAAGCAATATCTAGGCACCAGGGTTACAGCCATGAATAAGATGGTCAAATCTTTACCATTGTGTAGGGCAGACAGACAATAAATACATGTATATGTCTGCTGTATGTAACATTCATTATTGTGGGGTTGCCATCAAAAAAATCTGAAAGTCATTGTACCAAAAGACTTTTTCCTATGGCAAAAAGTAAACTATGTGACATTAAATTTACATATGAAGAGTTTTGTCATGGTGACGTGCTTAGGATATAATTATGTGAAAAACCATGTCATGTGTAGTTTATATATAGTATAATCTCAACTGTATAGAAAAAAATAGAGAAAAAAAACCTGGAAGGTACTAACACAAAATTTTAATAATTATCTCTAGGCAGTGAAATCATTTATTCAATGAATATTTAGAAGCACCTCCTATGTACCAGCCACAACTGTCCTCATGGAGCTTGAATGCTATTTTCTTTTTTATATATGTTCCCACCAGAAGCATGCATTGCTTTATGTAAATATATATGTATATATAAAAATACACACACACATATACACTATTATAAAAACATGCTATCAGAGCATTCAGTGAAAGTTAAGGAAAAGCTATTAGTCTTTTCTTGCTCTGGTCAAGTACGGTGGGTGACAATCCAAAAATGATTTTTGACAAACACTCTGAAGGCTCAAACATCCCTCAATACCAAGGCAGAGCAGTATGAACAATCTAAAATAACTGGCAGCGGAATTATACAATAGTGGTCTTTTAAATCAGTTGACAAGGCTTTGTGGTTTTGTTTTACTACTAAAGACCTGCTGATATGGTTTCATGTGTTAAAGCAGAGTAACAGGTAAAGGAAAGTAACCAGACTGACACTCTAGTGAACAGAGGAGGCATCAAACACCAGCAACACTCACCTGTCCCCACATTCAGAAGCCCTGCCCTACTGAAATGTCTGTAGATAGCAGCCCACAGTGGCTCCTTTCTCCAAGGCCTCTGATTTGGTAAAAAGGAATCTTCTGTAAGATCAAACCCTCAGCAAACAACTGCCCGGCAAGGAGAAGGGGACAGGCTGCAAGAGCACAATGAGTGCCACCTGCCTTTCTGAAAGTCTTTAGTACTTCTATAAGGCCAAGAAGAAAGCCTTCTTTTCCTTGAATCTAGTGATGTAATTCAGAATGTGGGACACAGGGAATTCCAGGTCCTCAACACATGCCAAGGCGTTAGTCAGGGTTCCCATACCTGAAACCTCGTTCCTCAGCAAACTGCTCAGGCCGAGGAAGTTATGGTGCAAAACCAGTAAGAAGAGAGCAACAGCCAGGACCAGGATGATAACGTTTACTGAAACAGAGGAGAATGCCCATGTTACATCTCTTCACCTTTTGATCTGGTATAAAACAACAGAACTGTAGAAAGGACATACCTTTACGGAATGACATCTTTTTCTTCTGTCTTATATAAATATTAGTTATTAACCCTACAAAACAAAAACAAGCCCCCAAAGTCAGTAGGTACATTAGAATGGCCATCAAAATGCCTACATGCTTTTTTTTTTTTCTGGCTGCGTGCGGGCTTTCTCCAGCTGTGGCGAGCCGGGCTACTCTTCGTTGCGCTGCGCAGGCTTCTCATTGCAGCGGCTTGTCTTGTTGCGGAGCATGGGCTCTAGGCACGCGGGCTTTAGAGCGCAGGCTCAGTAGTTTTGGCGCACAGGCTTAGTTGCTCTGCAGCATGGGGAATCTTCCTGGACCAGGGCTCGAACTGGGTCCCCTGAATTGGCAAGCGGATTCTTAACCACTGTGCCAGCAGAGAAGTCCCGCCTACACACTTTTATTCAGGTAGAAAGAAGAAATGCATACGGTATTTTCTGCAAGAAACTCGTTTTGAATTAACAGTTTCCAAGGACCCAATTTGGGATCTGAATTTTTTACAGTGGTCATAATAATTAAATACTTCCAGTGACTTATAGCCTTGTATACCATATGCCACTAGATGAAAAGCAAAAGAAATTCTACCAGGAGGAATACCTGGAGTCTAACCACTATGGAAATGTTTTCTGAATGAATTTCTACTTAAAATTCCTAATTAGACATGGACTTCAGTTGTCTATGATCCAGTAAACCAAGGTCAGCCTCGCTGGTACAAACATCCCTGTTTCAAGATGTATTCCATTCATCTTTAACTGGAATTAAAGAAAAGAGAAAAAAGAACAGTTCCCAAATTCTTTTAAAACTATAGCAGAGGGACTTCCCTGGTGGCGCAGTGGTTAAGAATCTGCCTGCCAATGCAGGGGACACGGGTTCGAGCCCTGGTCCAGGAAGATCCCACATGCCGCTGAGCAACTAAGCCCGTGCGCCGCAACTACTGAGCCTGCGCTCTAGAGCCCGCGAGCCACAACTACTGAAGACCGCACACCTAGAGCCCGTGCTCTGCTACAAGAGATGCCACCGCAATGAGAAGCCCGCGCACCGCAACAAAGAGTAACCCCCACTCGCGGCAACTAGAGAAAGCCCACGCGGCAGCAACAAAGACCCAACGCAGCCAAAAATAAATAAATTTATAAAAAAGAAAAAAAAAAACCTACAGCAGAGAAACAGAATTACAAAAATTCACAAAATCCAATCTTGCTATCAAAAGTTTAGAGCTCTAGTCTCAAAAATTAAAAATCTGCTAAAAGAAAAAATTAGCTTCTTCTGGGGGCTTCCTATCTGTTGGTTAACTATCCATCTCTTATGAAAGTGGTGTCTAATACTGTCACTCTGCCAGTGGTTTGTGCTCCCCAGCTCATCTGAAGCCTTCACTTTTTCAAAACAAATAATTCAATGGAAACAAGACTGTAAGTGGGGCTAAATTAAACAATTAGGTTTCTACAACAATCTCTGGGTAATGTTTCATTAAAAACATTTTATACAACCTGGATATTGTGATCCTATGTTTGAGAACTTTACCCTTTTCTACTTCATCTTCCCCCATGGGAGTACCTAACATTTACATAAAGGCTATTAATTTTACAAAGCACTTTCAAATACAGCATATTTCTAAAATCTAAGTTAGTTTGAATTAATTTCATCTTAAATGAAGTGCGTGCCTGTCAGACACTTGATTTCTCAAGGCCTTTGAAAAGAAGAGAAATATATTGAAGTGCTGTTTAAAAAACTGGGATCACAGGCCAGATTACAAATTTGGGAGAACATAATTCAGACTCCCAAAGAACAATCTAAAATACACACACATTCTTTCTCGCTCACTCTCATTTCTTTCTAGAACAGTATATGTAAAGTATATTATACCAACAAGCTTACTCTCTAAAGACTACAAATCGTTACATACCCTGAGCCATGTGTCTCTATCTCCTCTTGAGGACTGAGCCTTACCTATAGAAGGTGGCAGACTGGGGGCTGCTCAGACAGGGTTCTAACATCTGCCTGCTTCGAGCCAACTTCCACCAAGACTGGAGAAAACTATCTCACTTTAATAAATCTCATTTAGTTAATGGTATAAGGGCCAATGGTTTAGCTCAACAATGTCCACTAATAATTACTTACAGGTGGTATGTTAATTGAGCGGCACAAGTATTTGTGCTATTCTAGCTAGCTAGACAGAAGAAAAACACAATCCCAGCAGGTATTTGATGTACTTAAGCAGATTCGCATGGCAGAAACCACCTACTCCTAAAACTCTTCCACAGTTATCTACATGCAAAATGCCGATATTATGGAGTGTGTCTGATCCATATTTCCTTTCCTGGTGCAATTCCTGGTAATGGAATTCACTGATCTGGTTAGAAAGAATTCTCAAAACAAAACTGTATGTACATCCCAGATGTGCAATATTGGCTGTATTTTTGCAAGAGTACACAACTGTGTACAATTTGATCAGTAATATTCAACTGTTCACTATGAAAAGTAGCATTTTGTTTAGAAATTACAAGACCTTCACATTCCCAAATCATTCACAATACACACACATAGCAGGCATTCCCAGAAATATGGATGAAGAAACCTTATGGGGCAAGAACACTATGTTTTTAACTTGCTAGCTACCTGCAATAGTACCCACATCTAAGTGGCCTTTTCTGCTTTTCTTTCTACTGCTATATATTCCCAAGGAAGGCCATTCCACTCATGCTCTGCAACCTATCCTATAATTGTTTCCTTGGTGCAGCATCAGCAAACTTTTTCCCTCTCTGCTGGATCACACACTTAGCAGCATTAATTATCATGCTCTGGTATCTTCCAGTTAATTAAAAAATAAAAAAGACACCACTTCCCATATCCCAGCAGACTCACAGACCCATTCCTCTGTTCAGTCTCACTCTAAAAGCTCGAAAGGATTTAAAGTTCCCAGCTCCACTTTCTCTCTTTTCCTCTATCCTACTTCAACCAGACTTCTGGCCCTACTTCTCCATTCAAAGTGGCTTTGTCGAGGTCACAAAAGACCAAGGTCATTTTTCTGTCCTCTTACCCATCCCCTCAGAGGCCATCAAGAAAGTTCACCGCTCCCCCTCTTCAATTATGAAATTATCTCATTTATTTGATTTGTTTCTTTATTTGTGTCTTCCCTGCTCTATGAAAACAGTGACCCCAGTGAAAAGTGTTTAGTCGTGTATCCTTGCCATCCAAAACCATGTCTGGTAAATGGTAATAGGTATGTGATATTTGTTGAATGGTCTTGTTAATCCAGGAGCAAGGCTGGTTCTCAGCTCTGAAAGGGAAAACGACCTTTGATAATAATCATGAAAACAAATTCAAACACAAGGAAAGACATGGATTCCAATGGAGATCTCTCTGAAATTGAACCTGACACGCAATCTCCTTTTCCCATGATTATCTTTATAGCTCAAATACCATAAAGGCTCTGCAGCAATTGCCACCCTGTGAAGTGCATTTAAAGAGGGATAACACAGAGGGATACATCTATTTCTGCATACGAGGGAAAATCTGTTTAGTCTCTGCCAGACTGAAAGGTGGAAAAGGCACTAAGGATATACATCCACTTTCTCTACCTCTTCTCTGCCTAGCTCCTACTTGGCTTTCAGGAGTCAAGGGAGCCTCCCCCAAACCTCACATTCAGCTGCATCTCCCCTGAGCTCTCACATCTCCCGGGCTTCGCTACCCCAGAGTAAATCCGGCTTATATTTGTGGGGTTACGTGGCTGTCTCCCTTGACACACTCTGGGCTCTAGAAAGGCAAGGACCTGGTGTTGGTCACGGCCATGTCCTTGGCCCAATTCATGGCACAAAAAAAGCTGCAGGGAATGTTTGCTGACTGCATGAGGTCGGCAGCCGAACACCGCCTGCCCTGGAGTGCCTAGAATCCCACCGCCTGAGACCCTGAGGCGCAACACAGCACAGAGGCCAGACAGCCAGTTGGGACCCACAGGCCCAGGTTTCCCAGAACAGGTCTCTCCGGAACGTGGGTCTTCCACCTTGATCAGAGTAACGGGGCAGGGCCTAAGCTTCTGAGATAGACGCCGGCCTTGAGAGGCAGTGCGAAACCTTTGCTGGCCTCTTTCGGGAGGCCTGAGTCTGTGAGGACGCCAGTGAAGCCACCAAGCAGCCTGGAGGGACAAACTGGAGACTCCCCGGGTGGGAACTCTCTCCAACTCGTGCGAAGGGGCGGGCCAGGACCCGTCCTTCTCCGAGGGCATTCCCTTTCTCTGGATGATGGGTTCTGGGGTACTCCCCCCTAAATTCTGGGGGTCAGTAACGTTTAGGAGTGTTTCGCAGTGGGTGGCGCTCCAGGGGTTCCCCCCACCCCGCGGCCCCGAGGCCAGCCGTCTCCCTCGGACTCTCCCCACGGCCTCCCTTACCTGCAACCCGAGGAGGAGGGGCCACTGCCCACGCCCCGGCCCGCCCCGCCAGCTCAGCGCCCCGACCGCAGGCCCCGGGGCCCAGCCCGCTGCCGGGCCGCCCGCGTCCCCTGCACTCCGGACCAAGCCCACCTGCCCGCTAGCTCCGCGGCCGCCGCGCGGTCCCGCAGCCCCCCGCCGTTAGCCACTCGGTCCGCAAGACCGTCGCGCAGAGCAGGCGCCGCCGGGCAGCCCCACCGCTGGGGTCCTTGCCGAGAAATGTCCGTCGCCATGGAGACGGGGCGCGCGCTGGCCGCCGTTAAGCCGCGAAGGCACAGCCAAGTACAGTTTGGGGGACCTGGACCGCGGCCCTCGGCACCCAACAGCACTGAAGGCGAACCCTTCACGGGCGCGTGATGCCTCGGCTCGGCCGCCACCGTCAGCATCTCGGCCCTTGCAGAGAGGGCGCCGGCCTACAGCCAGCTCCGAAAGCGCGGGTCGCCTAGCGAGGGCACGGGGAGGGGCCTCGGGCCGACCGGGTTTGTGGGAGACATCCGCTTCCGGGGCCGCAGCCATCGCGACCCTCGGCTCGACAGGACAGTAGGGCTGTATGCAGGAACTGACCCCGGCCCCTACTGTCCTTGAGTCCCGGCCGCCTTCGCTCCGCCGCCCGCCTCCTGAGCCAGTCATGTTGGAGTATCTGAGTTCCCTGCCCACGCAAATGGTGAGGGCGCTGCCCGCCTCGGCCCCAAGATTCCTACACGCCGCTCGCGAGCCTGGCAGCTCCGCAACCCTTGTCCGAGACCCACCCGGTGCATAGCGCTTCCTACCCCGGATGGCTACTTTCTTCCCCGAAATGAATCTCCTGGGTCCCCTTCTTTCTTCCCCCGCGAGGATACCCCAGCCCGGGTTCCGTCAGTTTGCTTTAATTCCCCCGGGAAACACAGAATGTCATTCCTTGCTTCAGTTCTTGGGGAAGTCCCATATATTGGGATCGCCCTGTGCCAAAGCTGTGAGGCCAGGGCAGGAATGTACCTCTTCGGTGGTGGAACCAATTCATGCTTTGCTCTCCTTCACCTCTAGGATTACAAGGGCCAGAAGCTAGCTGAACAGATGTTTCAGGGAATTATTCTTTTTTCTGCAGTAAGTATTGGTTTTGCATAGTCGTCTCTCCCCACTCCGCCACCCTCACCCCAGCTTGACTGTATTTAATATACTTCCTTTGTCTCTAGATAGTTGGATTTATCTACGGGTACGTGGCTGAACAGTTCGGGTGGACTGTCTATATCGTTATGGCGGGATTTGCTTTTTCGTGTTTGGTAAGAAATTTATGGGTGCTTGGATGTTGGTGGCAAATTAGGTTTTCTGAATTGGGTTGTTTTGGTTGGCCCTAGTAGTGAGAACCGGCACCATCTTTTCCCTCATCCTTCCCCTGCTATCATTGGAAAAGTAAATGCCAAATAGCATCAGATAAGGTTAAGTTACATAAAGCTCATTTCTTTTGGCAGGCGATCCAAGCAGTAATCTTAAAGTCAAACTAGGCCTTAAGACCTCACGGTCTTCATATTGCTCCCTCCTCACCTTTCTTTTAGCTCTTAAAGCCATGTGTAAACAATGAGGCTTGTTCTCACAGTATCTTGTCTGGGTGGTGGCACATAGTTTTCATAGGAATGTCAGTTTCATTTTTTTTTTTACCTTTAGCATAGGAGTCATTTGGGAACCAGGCATTATACATAATGCTCTTTTAAACTTTTAATGGCCACAAATGATGCATTTTCTCTGTTCTGACCAGCTGACACTTCCTCCGTGGCCCATTTATCGCCGGCACCCCCTCAAGTGGTTACCTGTTCAAGACTCAGGCACAGAAGACAAGAAACCAGGGGAAAGAAAAATTAAGAGGCATGCTAAAAATAATTGATTGGGGTTTTCATGATTGAGCTTTACTACTGCACCTGCTTTTGTTTCGTGTGACATGAGCTAAATTGTTTTCATATCCAAAACATGAGCTAAAAACACCTATGCTCAGCTGTGTACACATTTTGTTCTCTCTATATTTCACTTCTCTGTTGGGTTTTGATTTATAAATATTTTAGACCTTTTCTTCACAATCTTCCTTTGAAATGGAGAACAGAAAACACAAGTATGCAAAGTTTCTTTCAGGTCTACAAAATAATGAATAATAATAGCCTCATAAATGATAGTACAATTTAACTATCCAAGTTTTAGAATTCATTATGAGTCATCAGGCTGTTTTAATGTTTTCAAGTAAAACTCACAGTGCAACTCAATGTCTAAAGAGTCTTTTGCTTATTGTTCTGCAAGCATGACTACTAGTAAAAGCCAAAGTTAGAAGTTCGTGGTTCTGAAAGTGTAAGAACCATTTCTATTTTCTGAAGCTACAAGTTCCTAACATACTTTATTTTTTTTCCTTTAACAACAGCAAGCACCTATAAAAAAACTTTTGCTTTATACATTTAACATCTTATTCAATGCATGATTCATATGTGATATCTTACAGCTATGAAATTTACCACAAATGTAAATTTGTGGTAAAGTAGTATCTTGGTACCACTAAAATAAGACTATTGCCAAGCAGAAAACATTTAATCCAGGCTTTACCTAAGGTGGTTCAAAGTGGAAACCCATAAAACTGTAAATTCCTTTAAAATTTTCCAGAGGGCCGAAGAGAAAAATGTTCTAAAGACCTTGTGGGAGGGATGGGAGTGGAAGGGTTATTACAGGTAATATTCTGTTTCTCAATACCAGGATATAGGACTTCCAAATTATGAGTTTAAAAAAAAGGGAGCAAAGACCTTAATATAGCAAAAGTCAGGAAAGGATTCTAAAAAAGTGGAAGAAAAATAAAAGATGGCAGAAACAAGAACAAGCATATCAATAAGTATAATAAATGTGATTATAAAGTTAAGAGCTCCCAATAGGGTTAAAAATCACGTCACCTCATGTTCTCAAAATGACACCCCAATGGGCTTCCCTGGTGGCGCAGTTGTTGAGAGTCCCCCTGCCGATGCAGGGGACACGGGTTCGTGCCCCAGTCTGGGAAGATACCACATGCCGCGGAGCGGCTGGGCCCGTGAGACACGGCCGCTGAGCCTGCGCATCCAGAGCGTGTGCTCTGCAACGGGAGAGGCCACAACAGTGAGAGGCCCGCGTACCGCAAAAAAAAAAATATATATATACACACACACACACACACACACACACACACACACACACACACACACACACACACACACACACACAGAATGTTAATTAAAAAGGTATGGAGGAGATTTTTTTTATTCTAAGAAAATAATATGTATAACTTTATACCAATAAGTTAGAAAACTTTAGTAGAACTGATGACTTTGCAGGAAGATGTGGATTTCTAAAACATGCAAGAAATGGTAAATAGCTCAGGAAGACCAACGGTTTGCCAAAAATTTGTCCTCAGCTGAGCACTAGGACTAGATGGTTTTAGAGTTAAGTTGTTAAAAACCCTTCAAAATAAAGAAATTTCAGAAATTAGGCCATGAACCCGGGCCTAGCACCTGGCACACAGTAAAAATTAAATAAAAGTCTTTTATGTGGACTAGAAAGGGAACATTTTATTATTTTATGTGTGTGTATAATTTTCATAAAAGACATTTTTAACTGTAAAAAATGAAAATATTTCTGGAGTCATTCATGTTTAGAGTCCCTCAAATGCAGAAGTTAAAATTTACTAATCAGAACTTTTATTTTTTAAAAACTATTTGCTAGATGGGTATTGCCCCTTATTAAACAACTAATAAAATATGTGATATACAATTCTACAAATAAAACATGGGAAGACAATATCTTGATGTATAAGAAGACAAATTTCAGGAGACAAATGTCCAACATAACTAAAAGGATCTGGACTTTACTTCAAACCTGCTGAATTAGAAAAGGAATTAGCGTTTAAGGAATGTTTTCGCTGATGGAAAAATAAATCTTAAAAAGAAAAATAAGGGCTTCCCTGGTGGCGCAGTGGTTGGGAGTCCGCCTGCCGATTCAGGGGACGCGGGTTCGTGCCCCGGTCCGGGAGGATCCCACATGCTGCGGAGCGGCTACGCCCGTGAACCATGGCCGCTGAGCCTGCGTGTCCGGAGCCTTTGCTCCGCAACGGGAGAGGCCACAACAGTGAGAGGCCCGCGCACCGCAAAAAAAAAAAGAAAAAAAGAAAAAAAAAATCCAGTATGTAAAAACATACTGATTTACTAGCCCAAAATAACTCCTAGTTTCAATTCTTGTATACCCTGAATGAGGTCCATATTAAATGGAAATAAAATGTTAAACATCCATCAATATGCAAAAAAAGGAATTCAATGCTCAAGTACTATATATAATGCCGTATCTTTAAATCTACTCCCAGAATTATAAAAAAATAATTTATCAACTTCTACTTAAGGTTATTAACAGTAAAAAGTATCACTGGATGTATGTCATTTATTTCTCCTATTGCTTTCGTCACTCTAGTATAATATAAAACTTCCAATCCAGTATGTTATATCCCTGTATTCAAGCTAATAAGTACCTTAAAAAAAATAGTTCTAGATATCAAGTTGGTTTAAGGCTCAGTAAACAGTAACCAAATAAACGTAGTACAACAGATTTTCCCTCATAAAGAGAATAAGATAGCCAAAGGTTTTTTCTTTTGTAATAAGCTTGCTTCATATTACTCTGTCCAATTTTTTTCTAGTAAAAAAAGGCCCAACAAAATATAAGGATGGTGAATGGACTCCAGTCATTATTATAGGTTTGTTTGTTTTTGTTTAAGCGAAAAACGTTTGAAAATAGTTTCATTCTGGCAGCAGATTAGGTAAATTCTCAAAATTTTACATTATCTTCAAAAAATTTTAACTGGTGAGCTTTCACATTGTAAGTCACATACTTTTCACCCATGTGCTCCCGCAAACGTACCTATTTGGGAAACATAAAAAAAAAAAAAAAATCAGTATATAGTAGAAAAAAATATTTCTGTAACCTTAAAAGGGCTATTCTAAGCATGATACCAAGAGCAGAAACCTTATGGGAGAATACTAAGAGTTCTGTTTACATAAAAATTTTAAATGTCAAGTTACCAAAAAATAGTCATAAGAAATTAAAGAGCAAACAATAAGGAAAATATTTGCTACATGCCAAAGAATTAATACCATTAATGTATAAAGAGCTCTTAAAATCAATAAAACACAGCAATATTAGAATATTAGATTGTAAAGTAACTATAATAAAAAGTAATTTTTAAAAAAAGCCACCAAACACCTGTTATCCTTATCAGAAACCTAGACATTCCATTTCATATCACACACATGAAATGGAGAAAATAAATTAATTGAAGGGGAAAAAAACAGAATATTAGAATTGATAAAATCAATCCCATAGATAACTCAGTAAAGGCATTTACAAAATAATACAACCAATTAACATAAAATTCAAACTGACTAGTAATCAAAAAAAAAAAGGACTATTTGATACTCAAAGTATGTCTGTTTAAAGAAATGCCTGAAATTGAAATAACATTTAATAATATGTTAAACAGATGTCATGCACTTCCTGATACAATGAACTGAGAAGGACACAACATCACCTTTGTGGTATTCCTACCAAAAATGCATAATCTGGATCTATTCATGAGGAAACATCAAACACACCCAATCTGAGGGGCATTTTATAAAACACATGGCCTATACTCTTCAAAAACATCAAGGTCATGAAAAACAGACTCAGTAACTGTTCCAGATTAAAGGAGACATAACAACTAAATCTAAAATGTAATCCTGGGGCTTCCCTGGTGGCACAGTGGTTAAGAATCTGCTTGCCAATACAGGGGACACAGGTTCGAGCCCTGGTCCGGGAAGATCCCACATGCCGCGGAGCAACTAAGCCCATGTGCCACAACTACTGAACCTGCACTCGAGCCTGTGAGCCACAACTACTGAAGACTGTGCGCCTAGAGCCCGTGCTCCGCAACAAGAGAAGCCACCACAATGAGAAGCCCACGCACCACAACGAAGAAAAGCCCCCGCTCACCGCAACTAGAGAAAGCCCACTCACAGCAATGAAGACCCCATGCAGCCAAAAATAAATAAATAAATAAATTTTAAAATAATAATAATAATAAAAATAAAATGTAATCCTAATTGGTTCCACATCCAGCATGACAGTGTGAGAAGCTCTGTAGACCCCTCTTCAGTGAAACTGGTGAAAATATTTAAAAAACCAACCATTTAAAGTCTCTGGAAATGGTCATAAGGGCATACAGCAAATAGGGACCCTTTTATTTTTTCCAAGAAAATCTACTAAAACTCAGTTAAAAACAGTAAAGCTACTAAGAACAATGAGGGTCAGTGAACTGAATTAAAATGAAATGTCTCCTTCCCCACTCCAGCTCAGTGAGACAAAAACTTCACTACACTGGTGAAGTCAAGAAACTTCTTTCCCCCTAACTCCTAACTGGAAGGCAATCTTCCTGGGAGGGGCAGGACATCAGCATATGTCATCCTGCCCCCAATACCTGATGGTGACAGTAAGCTTTGGGAGGGTGCAGCCAAGAGGTGGGAGCTTCTTTTTTATGCCCAGCTCAGACATGTAGGATAGAGGCTCTATCTTGGGTACAGGGCCACTGAAAATACGGGGACCCCAATCACCTTTGCCCCAGACCATAAAGTGAAGTTTCCATGCTGGGCGAAGCATGCCAAGAAGACCAGATGCTACTGCCTCTCACCCCCTATGAGCTTCCAAAGTGGGGGTATCACTCAGAGAGACAAGCAAGCTACTGTTCCCACTCCCAGCTCCGGAGCTGTGCTCCCAGATTTTGCCTGGGGGTAGAAGCAAGACATAAAATAAGCACCAAGTCTTTAATGAACTGACTTCATTTGGAACAGAGTGTGGAGAATTCAAGCCTAAGGGTGCTCTCAAAAACCAGAGGTAGTGGTGAAAGGCAACTGGGAGGAGATTAGTACTAGGTACATTGGATATAGGCTAAACTGTACGCCAGCTACTTTAAAAGAACCAAGAAGCTGGAGGGGCCCTGGGTTCAGAAAAAATCTCAAACACTAAGCTTGGGAACTACCTCTTCAAAGGGGCTCAGCTTTGATTGGATCAGCCTATGGAGCAATGTAGCCCCAGGGCATTACTGAGAACAATAAAAGCGATCAGCTGGCAACCAAAAAACATCTGGGTGAAGTCTGGGAAAGGGAGCATCAAGAGAGCTCTGCCAGGGACTTCCGTGATGGTCCGGTGGGTAAGACTCCATGCTCCCAAGGCAGGGGGTCTGGGTTTGATCCCCGGGGTCGGGAACTAGATCCCGCATGCATGCCGCAACTAAGAATTCGCATGCCGCAACTAAGAAGTCCACATGCCACAACTAAAAGATCCCGCATGCTGCAACTAAGACCCAGTGCAGCCAAAATAAATAACTAAATAAATAAAGAGTGCTCTGCCAAACCCACTGTCATTCCAAGGTAGCTGTGAACATACCCAAGGCTGTACCCTAGGGGCAACATCAGAGGCTTCACATTGTGGGGACTAGGGTAAGGGGTTCATAGACTTTACTAATATAATCCAGCCAATCACTAAACAAATAAACAAGCAAATAACAATAACAACCCCCCACCACTGGAGGCCAATACTCAGACTTGTAACCATTTATTAACTAAAATGTCTAGTTTCCAACAAAAAGTTATGAGACATGCAAAGAAATAGAATAGTATGACACATACACTGGAATAAAAGAAGGCAAGATAAACTGCCTGTGAGAGCAACCAGATGTTGGATTTAACAGACAAAAACATCAAAGTAGGGATTATGAGCATGTTCACAGAACTAAAGGAAATCATGATTACAGAAGTAAAGAAAGGTATGATGACAATGACACATCAAACAGAGAATACTGACAAGAGAAAGAAGGCATTTAAAAAAACCAAATGGAAATTTTGGAGTTGAAAAGTGCAATAACAAATGAAAAAATTCACCTGGGAGGCTAAACAGTATATTTGAACTGGCAGAGAGAATAAGTGAGCTTGGAGATAGATCAACAGAGATTATGCAATCCAAAGAACAGAGAGCAAAGAAAATGAAGAAAAATGAACAGTTTCAGAGAACTGTAAGACACCATTAAGCACAACAGCACATGTATAATGGGAGTACCATAAGAAGCGGAGAGAGAAAAGGAGCAGAAAAAATATTTGAAGAATATTGGCTGAAATTTTCCCAAATTTTTTAAAAAAACAATCTACACATGCAGGAACCTCAATGAACTCTAAGCAGGATCATCTCAAAGAGATCTACACATGGACACATTAAAGTAAAAGTCCTGATGCTGTAATGTATACAGAAGTCAAAATGTAAGGTTGTACACATGCAACTTATATAATGTTATAAACCAATGTTATCTCAATAAGAAAAAATCAATTTAAAAAAATAATAAAAAGCAATATTACAACAACAAAGTAAAAGTGCTGAAAGCCAAAGGCAAGGAGAAAATCTTGAAAGCAGCAAGAGAAAAATGACTCAGTACTTACAAGAGAACCCCAATAACATTAACAGCTGACTTATCACAAACAATGAAGGCCAGAAGGCAGTGGGATAACATATTCAAAGTACTCAAAGAAAAAACTGTCAACTAAGAATCGCATATCCAGTAAGGCTATCTTTCAAAAATGAAAGCAAGGGGCTTCCCTGGTGGCGCAGTGGTTGAGAAGTCCACCTGCCGATGCAGGGGACACAGGGTTGTGGCCTGGTCCGGGAAGATCGCACATGCCGTGGAGCGGCTGGGCCCACACAACGGGAGAGGCCACAGCAGGGAGAGGCCCCGGTACCACAAAAAAAAAAAAAGAACCAGGCAAAAAAAAAAAAAAAAAAAAAAAGAAGGCAAAATAAAGATATTCCCAGATAAACAAAAACAGAATTTGTGATTAGCAGACTTGCCTTGCAAGAACTACCAAAGGAATCTCATCAGGCTGAAAGCAAGAGACCCCAGGCAATAATTCCAATTTACCTGAAAACAGGAAAAGCACTGATGAAGGTAATTATGTAAATAAAAACAATATAAATACAAATTGCTTCTCCTTTTCTTCTCTGAACTGATTTAAAAAGCAATTGTGGGCTTCCCTGGTGGCGCAGTGGTTGCGAGTCCGCCTGCCGGTGCAGGGGACAGTGTTTCGTGCCCCGGTCCGGGAAGATCCCACATGCCGCGGAGCGGCTGGGCCAGTGAGCCATGGCTGCTGAGCCTGCGCGTCCAGAGCCTGTGCTCCGCGACAGGAGAGGCCACAGCAGTGAGAGGCCCGCGTACCGCAAAAAAAAAAAAAGCAATTGTATAATACAATATGTATAGAAGATGGTGGAGGAGGAAGAAGCACCAGGAATCTATCTCCTCACACGGACAAAAACTGCACTGTCAGAATCTGCCAGATGTAACTATTTTGGAACTCTGGAGTCTATTAAAGGCTTAAAACATTCAGGGGAAGGCTTGGATGGTAAATTTTGGTTAATTCCAGTCAATTTCAGCTCTAAGCACCCACCCCACCAAGAGGCAGGTAGCTGTCCAACATTCCTGGAGCAGCCTGTAGATAGCTTGTAGGAGCCAGGGTAGGCAATAAGAATCTTGTCTTCCAAGTACTAGGGATCTCTATACTGACAGCTGATTGCTGCTTCTCATCACAGAGGGGCAGACACAGAGGCAGGCAACCACTGCTGCAACGCTCATTGACATTGTTACAAACACCAAAGCCTTCAGCTGAAGCAACTTCCAAGGGATTTAAAGGGACTAACATAGGTATTGTGGGAGTCCCAGAAGAAGACAGAAAGAGGAAGTGAAAATATTTAAAGAAATAATAGCCAGAAACTTCCCAAGTTTGATGAAAGACATGAATATAAACATCAAAGAATCTCAACAAACTCCAAGTAGGATGAACACAAAG